TGGGTGTACAGCCCCTCCTCAGAGATTCCTGCCCTGGGCATAGGGGTCTGGGGAGCAGGGCAGGAGGGGTCTGGGGAGCAGGACAGGAGGGATCTGGGCACAGAGAGCCTGTGAGTTTTCATATAGGTCTCTGAGTCCAGAGGACTTGGGCATCAGTGAAAATGGGAGACACACCCTGTGCTGGATGCCTTCTACCAACCTTATGGCAGCTGTCGCTTGGAGAATGTGTTCTGTGCAGCAGGCATGGGTACATGCAATTGACCTGGATTAACTCACCTAGTCCTCAAAGCAATACTGGGAAATAGGGATTATTATTGTTCCCATTCCACAGACAGGAGAACAGAAGCCCAGAGAAGTTAAGAAACTTGCCCAGGATCACATAGCTAGTAAGTGGCAGAAGAGCATTAAATCTAGCCATCTTCCCCCCAGATCTGTAACTCCTCAATTCCCAGCGGCATCCTCCCGCGTTACAGGGGTGGATCTGCCTCTGTGTACTGGACCACTGTGCCAGCACACGTCACTGGTTGCCACTTTCCAGCTGGTCCTGGTCTGCCCCCTCCTTGCATGCTTTCTTCAAACGGCAAGCTCACTTCTGGAGATTTCTAATGGTGACTTCAGCCCCCTAAGAAGGGCCTGTTCCATGCTTGGCTCAGCTAGGCCCCCTGCAAGTCTCTCCCCATCATTACAGAGCAGTGAGTCCACACCATTCTGCAGCCACAGAGCTGCAAAACAGACGGACACTCCACACAGGCCTGCTTGGACTCAAAGTCCACGCCCTTCCTATGTCCACCTATGTGGACACTAACTGTCCTATCTTGATAGCTCTCAGAGGAGGTGGGAGGACCAGATGCTGCTGTGGCCTTGGCCCCGAGGTGAGGAATGGGCTGTGCCTTTGCTCAGTCACTGCAGTCTTGGGAGGGGTTTCTAACTGGATCTACTTTGCTGGATGATGGTAAAAGGAAGTCACTTTGAAGTCAAACTGCTTGGGACACAAAAACCAGCTTGAGAGATACCTTGCTTAGAGGCTTTGCCTCAAAGCAAGAACAGAGGCAGGGAGGGGTGTGTGGGCGGACGAAGGAGGGAATTCAATTTGGTCAACTTCCTCACAGGGAGGCCAGGCTCAGTGACCTGCCTCCCCCTCACAGAGGCCTGCTGGACCTGTGAATCTCAGCAAGGTGAGGCTGGGGTGAACTCATTAACCCTTCCCCCGCACACAACCCTCCCCAGAAGGAGGCTACAAGCTGCCATGTCTGTAGTGAGCACCTGGATTGGAAGCACTACTCTAGATATGGGGGTCAGGTCCCTTTAAAGCCTGCCCAGCTAGGGAAGAGGTGAAGGGGAGCAGGACACACTACCTGATGCCTCACTCCACCCTGTGGGTCCTGGGCTTGTGGGGGTCTCAGTCTACAAAGCTGTCACTGGTGGTGGTAATAGCTGTCAACCTAGCAATGGTGAGCCCCGGTGACCTGCACAAATTCAGATAAACAAGTGATGATATGATGAGCTGCTAATTCAGGCAAATTTGCCTCCTTAAGTCTTTAGAAAGGAGCCTGGATGGCGTAAGTGGTTGCTTATCTAGAGGTTGCTGGTTTGAACCCACCCAGTGGCTCTGTAGAAACAAAGGCCTGGAAAGCTGCTTTTCTATAAAGTCAGGAAAATACCTCCTCTGCAGCAGGCAAGGTTGCTGTGAGCTGAAACAGCCTCAGCAGCAAGGGTGTGGTCTAGTTTTGGCATCTTTGGACACAATCTGTCTTTGAACCCCCTCATAGGTCCATCTTGAACTAGAACCTCTTGCAGAGTCTTAGAATGCCCCTAACCCTCATCTTCTGGGAGTATGCAAGCTCTGGATGAGCAGGCAGGAGCTCCCAGTGCTGGAAATGGTTCATGCACTTGGCTGCTAACCAGAAGGATGGAGGTTTGAGCCTACCCAGAGGTACGACAGAAGAAAGGCTGGATGATGTACTTCTGAAAAATGAGCCACTGCAAGTCTATGGAGCCACATTCTGCGCTGACACGTCGATGGTTCCAAGTCAGAACTTACTCAACAGCCAGTATTCAGGCAGGCCGGCTCTGGGCTGGAGCCTCGTGTTATCATTGTTATGTGCCATCCAGCTGGAACTGACTCACAGCTGACCCTGCAGTGGGTTTTCAGAGGCTCCAAACCACACAGGAGGAGACTGCTCATCTTTCTCCTGTGGAGCAGGTGGATTCGAACCACGTGCCTTAGGGTTAGCATTCTTACCAGTAGGCCACCAGAGTTCCCTCACGTTGTCATAAGCTACATTTTATGGAAAAAGTCAGGCTCAGAAGGAAATAATCCCCCCAAGATTACACAGTCAGAAAGTGGTGAGACCAGAATTTGAACTCAGGCAAAGGGTCTGAGTTGTAATCCTCTTCCTCTCATGCCACTTTCTAAGAGCACTCAGACAGGTCCTCAAGAGGTCCCTGGGGACAGCTGACAGGGTGTGACCCATCAGAACAAGGAGCTTTCATCATGCCATTTATTCCCAGCAGCCGGCACTGGGCTTGGCATCCACCAAGAATTTGTTGAATAGAAGAGTGAGTGACTCAAGGGTGGCTCTCCTTCCTTACGTGGGTCCTTGAATATTCTCCTTTCCCAGAAGCCAGCTGCTCACTGGTGCTCACTCCCTGGCTGCAGATGGCAGCTCTGTGCCCTTACTGTCACAGGGGCTGCCGTGAGTGCGTGGAGCCTAGGTCCTCCCAAAGCCATTCTTGGGACACAGACAACCCATGCTTGGTGACTGGAAATGGAGTTGGAGGCTTATGATTTAAATCCTAGACCCTCAGGAGTTTAACAGAGCAGGACCGAGTTTAGCCCAATCCCTCACCACAGAGACTCTCTCTGTCCTTGTGGATAGTTTGAGCAATAGCAGTGTCCATGCTGTATGGCTTCAAAACCCAAACCCTGCCATCTTTACCAACTACCCGATTATTTGTAAACTGTTTAGAGCTGAGAAGCATTCTTGATCCTGTCCCTAACTTATATACTAGTTGCAGAAGTTACAATTGTGATGAGATCCATACCAAGGGATATGATGACATCCACCCCCAGGGATGTTGGGGGAAACCTGGTTTTCTAGACAGGTAAGGTAGTCAGAGATGTGCACATTGCAGATATGAGGTTAAAGAAACAGCCATTCTCCTCTTTACTACTCAGTAATTCTTCTCTAGGAATTTATACCAAGACAAAAGTTTATATATAAAGTGGTTAATTACTCCATTATTTTTAGTAGCCAAAAACTGGAAACAACCTAAACGTCCAACATGAGTGGGATGGTTAAATACATTATGGCGCATCCATAAAATAATTGCCATCATTACAAACACTCTTTATGTAAAAAATTTAAATGACTGAGGAAAACATTTAACATTAAGCCAAAAAAGAAAGGACATAAAATTGTATTTAGCTGGGGGGGGGGAGGGAGTACACAGAAAAAAGGACTGGAAGGAGAGGTGGCAGGATGTCCCCAGAAGCCACATCTGCACAGCAGAAGGAGCTCTTCTCCCAACTCTGCTCTTTTTCAAGATTCCTGGTAGCATAGTGTGTTTGCTGTTGAGTTGCCAACCACGAGGTCATTGGCTCAAACCCACCAGCTGTTCCCTGGGAACAGATGAGGCAGCCTGTTCCCATTATGATTTATAGCCTCAGAAACTGAACTTTGACTTTTTAAGCAGTCTGATGTCAAGAGTGAACTAAGAATTCCATTGCTTATTTAAAGATTGGTGATTTGAATCTACAAGAAAAAAATGTGGCAGTCTGCGTCTATCAAGATTAACTTGCTCAAAACTCACTGCCCTTGAGTCTGAACCAATGCATAGTTGACTCTCCGTGGGTTTTCAGAGGCTGCAAATTTCAGTGGAGGAGACAGCCCATCTTCCTCCTGCAGAGCAGCTGGGGAATTCGAACCACCTGCCTTTAGGTTGGTAGCCCAATTCCCTAGCCACTAGGCAACCAGAGCCAAGGGTATTCTATGAGTCTCTTCTACTCTTGTCCTAGACAGTTACTATTGTCCATACACACTTCAAAGGAAGAGAGATCCCAGTGGCTGGCTAGAAAAAGGTTTAGAGGGCAGAAGGTAGGTCCTGGACCACTGTCTTCTTGACATAAATACACCAGGCAGGGCTGTACAGGTGGAATCTTCATCTCAGACTTGCTTTTTTTGGTCCTAGGCTTCAGGAGCTTCTATCTCCAAGAAGTGAGGAACGCAGGTAATGAATTTTCCACCTCCAGCCCCAGACAGCGCCTGTCTCCCAGAGAGGAAGGATGGCCCGCTATCTCTAGCATCTTCTCAGGGAAAAGCTTGGTGTTAAATCTGAAATCCGAGACCCCGCTGGCACCTTGCCGTTTCTGCCTGAGAGGCTTTCAAGATTCTAGGTTAGAGACCCAGGGGCTGGGGGTGGGGAAAGGCAAAGACATCTGTGAGTGAGGATGTAAACCAAACATAAGGAGCTGAGAAGCAGCAGCAGAACAGTACCAACACCCCAGCCTGTGGGCTCCATCAGCCCTCCCGGGCAGCACGGGATAACCCCTAGGCTCAAAGGCAGTACGTACCCCCACCTTCACTGCATGCAGGTCCAGTTTCTCTAGGCAAATACCAAGATCACTTTACAGCCGCACTCAGGAAGACCAGGCATAAATTCCGCCCTCTAGGTCCTCCTCAGCTCCAAACCTTTTCCATGGAAACAAATCTCCTTCCTTCACTCTTCCTACTCACATTTGCAAGCTTCCTTGCTATAAAAACAATACATGATGGGTGTATGCAAAGAAGTCTGTAAGGTTGCAGATGCATATGGGTTTCCTCCCATTCAGGAAGGCACAGAAACCTGAACAACCCATACAAAACTCTCAGACTTGGAGGCCCCAGGGGTAGAGAAATAAGGACAGATGATGGAGGTGTAAATCAGAAAAGAAAATTCTGCCCCACTGCCGGGGGGGGGCAGTAAGTGTCCCCCACTTCAGAGTAGTCGGAGCCACTCACCAAATATGTTTCCTTCGGAGCCGTCTTTTGTTAGCGGACGGAGCTCATTTGTCCCCATTGCGTACCGCTTGTAGCTTTGCCAGGCAAACTGCATCATCTGCAAGAAAAGGCAGGATATCAACAACTCCGGGTGACGAGCCCCAAGAGTGAGCACTGACCCCCTGGAATCACCCCCGACAACTGGGTTTTAAACCACATTTAGGAAATGACTTCTACACTTCCAGATGAAGGCAGGCAACTTCTCTCCCTAAGTTTATTCACAGCTGCCTGAAGGTCATTCTCCCCTCTTCCCCGAGAATCTCATGTATCTAAAGTCTATCTGCAGACTTCTCAGAAGCTAGTCATGAAAGCATCAAGCAAAACAAATTCAATCACCCTTCGATGCCCAGTGGGGAAAAAACACCTCTTCCATGAAGCCTCTCTATTTTATTTTGGCTTACAGTAATTCTCTGAAGGGAAGGAAGTGAGTATTTTGTGAGTGAAAGCTTGCTTACATCCTCTTAAGCTCACAGACTCACCTCATAAGCTAGATATTGTCAACCTCATTTTATAGATAAGGAAGCAGGTCAAAGACACGAAAGAATTTGCTGAAAGCTACCCAGGGAGTTAGTGTCAATACTGGAAATTGAGTCCATGCCTCTGACTCTCTGACTCTAACACGTTGAGTCTTTCCTCAAAGCCTGCTTCTCTCCCTGAGAATCACTGCATGGCTCCCTTTGAACCTCTCAAACATGTGGCTTGACCTGCCCCGGCTAGCAGACTTCCTTGTACCGAGTACCTAACCTAGTCACTGTGGTTGCCCTGGCTGTGGCCATAAGGTTTTTAAGGCTGGAAACTGCACTTGCCTGCACTTACCCCACAGCACCCAGTTGTAGGATGTGGCACAGAGATGCTTCAATGACTAGTCGTCGACTGTCACCCAGGGTATGTGAGGGCTCTCATTACATAAAGACACCAGGCCTCGCCCCTCAGGAGCATCACACAAGCGCCAGGCTCCTCTCACAGCATCAGCATTGCAGGCTGAAGAGGTGCCAGATGGTAGGCCTCCCTCCACCCAGGGCTCCCTTCTCTGCCTTTGGATGCAGGCTGTGGAAGGACAGCACAGCCGAGCTCTGGAGTGACAGGGTACAGAGGAGGAAGTCAGACACGGGTAGCAGAGGCACAGCTGAAGGACGGACGGGTGGGGAGGCAGCCTGGTGCAGCAAAAGAACTGGGAACTCAGGGCCAGAGGGGCCTGGGTTCTAATTCCACTCCTGCCCCTCTGTTGCTAGTTCTATGACTATGCAACGTGGTGAAATGTCTCTGAGCTTCACTTGACACATCTGCAAGATGGGCCTAACAAGAGATGCAATGGCACAATCCTGCAAGAATTAAACTGGGGCGGGGGCAGGAAGTAGCTGGAAAAGCCCAATTCCCAGCCTGCACAGCAGGTGCTCAACAAATGCTAATTCTCTTCCTGCTTCAATTTGCAACATTCCCATCTGGTCCCCCATGCATTGAATGAGTTTCTCAAACTTCAGCTGGCATAGGTATCACCTGGCAAGTATTTTAAAGAGATCACCAGGCCCCACCTCTTGAATGTTTGATCCAACAGGTCTGGGATGGAGCCCTAAGAATTTGCCTTGCTCTGGTGATGCAATGGGTTATGACATGGACTGCTAGCCAAAAGGTAAGAGGTTCAAATTCATCAGCTGCTTTATAGAGGAAAAAAGGAGGCAATCTGCTCTTAATCTGTCCTATAAGGTCACTATGTATACAAATGTCTAGATGACAGTCTTTGAGTTAACAAATCTCCCGGTGATACCACTAGCCTGTGTGCCACATGGGAGAACCAGGGATCTCTTACATATGAATACTTCGATTTGTCACCTCACTTAGACACAGTCATCCAAACCCTTTCTTTGGCTCTGCCCTGCCTACCGCCCAGCCACATTTCCAGCTCTGCACCTTTCCCAGGACACATCCGCCCACATGCCTGAGGCTCTTTGCACTTGCTACTGGGCTAAAAGTGTCTCTTCCAGGCACAACTGGCCAGTGATCACAGCTGTGCTCATCACTGAAGCCCAAGTGCACAGGCTGTGGGACACTCTGGCAGGTATATGGCTTGGGCTGTCCATAAAATGGCAGAACAATCTAGCACACCTTGCCAATTGATAGGTCATGAAACTCTGGAATGGGGTTGGAAAGCGGATCAATCCAGAGCTGGAATCGAGGTCTCTCGACTCCCATGCCAGCGCAGCTCACCCCCTTGCTTGGCCCATGTGACACACGTGCAAATGTCATGGTAACGCATGCCAAGCACTTGGCACAGGCTCTGAGTCCTGGTTCCATTCCTCTGTTATTTTCTACTTATCTTCAATTGGCAATAACGGGGAAATAATTGCCGGGTATGCGTGCTTGAGGGAAACTTGCCTTCTCCCTTCTCTCTGATCTGGGGGCTCCCTCCACTGAGTTAGTGTGAGGTGTGGGGGAGTGGCCAGGTGGGAGAGCAGGAAGCATAAGTGGCAGCGGGGGAGCAGGAGCAGGGGTCGGCTGGGGGGAAGATTGCACCCCACCTCAACTCCTCCTGCTTAAGAGAGAGTACGGGAGAAGTGGGTGTGCAGGCGTAATTAGGGGAATCATAGGTGTCTGCACATTCTCAAAGGAGCTGTAACTGCAGGGAACGTGGCGGCATTTGGAGCAAGGCCCATTCTCACAGCCACACACATCAAGAGAGGGGAACGAAGGCGCAAATAATCCCCACATCTCTCGGAACTGGATTCAGAAGGCAAGCTGTGTCTCCATCACACATGTGGGCAGAGACACAGACCCTCCAACGCACACCTGCATCCTCCCTTGGGTCCTGTAGACTCAGCAAAGGCATCAGGTAAGCAGAGGAATGACTAGTGGACAAGTAGTCCTTATTTCCCATGTTAATGTATCCTAAGGGAGCTCTGGTGGCCTAGTGGTAAGAAGCTGTGCTGCAATCCCGAATTCACCAGCTGCTCCGTGGGAGATGGATGGGCAATCTCCTTCCATGTGATTAATGGCCACTGAAAACCTGCTCGAGGGTTCAGCTATGGGTCGTTTCCAACTTGGCGGCACACAACAACAATACACCCTAAGGCTCCTGGGTGGTACAAATGGTTTGCACTTGGCTGGTAAACTTAAAAGATTGGTGGTTTAAACTCATAATGACTTAAGGAATGAGGGCATACTGATGTACTGGGGTGGGGGAGAGTTAAAAAAGGAGTTGCCAATCTTAAACAATGGGACAATTCAGCAACATAAATGGTCCAACTCCCTGGTGACATCTGGGCTGGGCTCTGGAGGTGTGGTCTTGACCTGGGTCCCCAGGAGCAGCATCTCAATGAACTCTGTTGACCATTCCATGCTGTCAAGATCTTTCCAGAACCAGGTCTTATTAATCTGTAAGGTAAGTGTCTGCTGGTTTTCAGGAAGCTGCAAACCGGAGGGGACACTGTCATCTACAGTCTCCTCTCTCCTACATTTCTGACAGAAGCACTGAGGAGTTGGACCTCGGGCAGAACTGGGAACTAGCATCAAGGGCTTTGCGTGCGGGCCATTCATGAGCAAATGAGCAAGCTACACAGTCAGTGCAACACTTGTCTTTCCATTTCTGTCCACAACAATACTGTGAAAGACGGGGCCAAAATACAAAACCGCTCTGCTCTCGTACAGAAGGGGGGGAAAAGTCATTTGTTTGCTTTTTAAGAGGGAGGGCAAAAGGGTTAGGCTGGCATGATTTGTTCACAGGGAGCTCAGGTTGGCTCCTACAGAGCGTCATTTGTTGTACTAAATGCTTGCAACTCACTAACTTAAAGCCTATTAGAGCCACGAGGATGGCAGTAATAAAAAAGACGGAATGTTGTGTTGGTGAGGGTACGGAGGAATACAGAACTCTCATACATTGTTGGCTGGGAATGTAAAATGGTGTAGCCACTTTAGAAAACTGTTTGGGGAGGACAAGTTAAACATGGAGTAACCAAGCCCCAAATGAGGGACAGATCTACAACATTACGTGGTCTACACTCTTAAAAAAAAAAAAGTCATAAACAAAGAGAAGCCTGACAAGTAAGGAGATGTTCATGACCAGTAAATGCAACATGAACGGAACGGATCCTGGAGGTGAAATAACAACAGCAACAACATTGTTATTATCCTAAAGGGCATTGTGGACCCAACTTGCCAAATCTGAATGGGGCAGAGGTACCAGATAGTAGAATCAAGCATCATTATTTTGCCAATTTTGATGGCTGACTGTAGTTATGTAGAAATGTGGCATTACCTTCTAGGAAATATATAATGAAGTATTTAAGGGTAAAGGGCATCGTGTGCGCAGCTTACTCTCAAATGGTTCAGAAACCAGTTATTGTATATATGTACAGAGAGAGGAGAGGGGAGGGCAGAACAGAGAGCGTGAAGACGACGAGAGAACAAACATGGTAAAATATTAACATCTACAGAATCTGGGTGAAGGGTAAATGTGAAATCTTTGGTTGATTTTTGCAACTTCTCTGCAAGTCTGAAATAGGAAAAAGAAAATCCATTAAAGAATTTTGCTGGAGGTTGCCGATGCCATTTTCAACCAAGTCCACACATTCCAAGATTTTATTCCACTTTTTAAAAATTATGACAGACTGTGCCCCTGTGAAGCAGCTCTGGCGGTTTCTCTCGCCCCACAGTTCCTCCTGACCTGTGCTGGCCTTCATGGCCCCCTCGCCAGGCTTGCTATGCCTGTTCTGGTCAGAGAACCGAGCCAAGCAAGCAACTGTGTTTCCTCTCCTATAATCACATCACCATGCTTAGATACGGTACTCAACCCTACTCTGTGGTCCTTGCTCCAAAAAGAAACTCAAAGACTCTTTTGAGGTCTGCGCATTTTGCAGAAGCCTCAGTTCATCCGAGGCTTTGACCTCTCATTTCCTTTTTCCCCACCTTCTTCCATGTGAGCCCTGTCCTACACTTTCTACTTCTAACACCTGTGCAGAACCTTCTAAATATTTTTTTTAAAAAAGAAGGCCGAAACTTCATATATGTATATAAAAACACCACCCCTCTCAAATTTATTGCCATGGAGTCAGAAGCAACCCATAG